TCATTTAGAAGTGCATGCAGTGGTAACTAGGTAACCCTCCTCTAATCCTTGGGCTGATGATCACCGTTTTATGCTTCTGTCCCTGGAAATATGAAGGGAAGAAAGAATCATGACTTGCCTCACTCATGTGACCTTCTGAGGCCCAAATGAGATGATGATTATGAAATTATTTTGAAAACAAGGTCATATTAGTACAAAAAAAGGGGGAGGCTTGGCTAATAGTAAAACATAGCTTCTAAATTTTCTGAATGGGGTTCTATGACCTGGCTTTTACTCACAGAAGCAAAGGGACCCAGGAATCACACCTGTATGGGGGTTGGTGCCAACCGAATTCTGGAAAGCCAATGAGTGGAGACACACAGTTCAAGTAGTTGTCCTATATACCCTAATGGTTCTAAATTGGAGAAGTTTGCAGAAGCTTCCAGGTAACTTGCACAGAATAGGAGAATTATTTGTACCAGAAACAAAAACATAAGAAGACAACCATAGGAGTAACAGTGAAAGTGGGGAAGCCTGCCCAGGCTTTTGGAATTGGAAGAGGAAAGGGAGATACATCCATAACTCTGAAAGGTTCCAGAAGGGCAGGACGAAGAGGCATGTCAACAGCAGAGCTCATTTACTCCTGTCAGCCCACATCCAGGGCAGCACAGCTTGAGGACCAGGGCCTTAGAGAGAGGAAAGCAAACCCAGGAAGCAGATGCTTCCCTCCGTGTCAGGTGCCTAACCAGCCCTTATGGAGTGTGATGTGCAGTTCCAAGGAGAGGGAAGGACGTGCTGGGAAGAAGGTGGAAAATTCTCACGTGGTCAGCCCCCTGCAAGGCCGTGGGCAGATGGGTGTGGCCACAGGGTCTTGAGTATGAACAGGTAGGTCACCATGGAAGGAGGTGCCTGCACCCACACCTCATCCTGCAGCCAACAAGGTAATAGGACTCAGTGCCTATTTGTGGCTGCAAGGAGATGGGTGGGACCTGCTCTCTCCTGTGCTGAGAAGTAGCACCTCTTGCCACACCAAGGGAGGAGTGAATCTGATGTGGGAATTTGGCCTTTGTGTGTGCAGCTCTGCCCCTCTGGGCTCTCTTTGAATGACGTCTGTCTGCCTCCCTGCAGGACATGGATGTTACGTTGTGTTCCAGTTGCAAGGAGGCAGGTAAGCTCACGGGAGCTGAGCACCTCCACTGTGCAGCATACAGGCTGTACAACCTTAGGGGTGCTATTCCATGTCCTTGAATTTAATTTTATTGACAATAAAGCTGATAGTTGGGTCCTTATCTAACTTCTATGTCTATTTCTCTTTGCTTTGATTCTTGGGGGGAAGGGTTATTCAAAATCTAAATAGGAAACTCCTGCTGGTAAATCAAATGGGTCCTTTCGCTGGCCACTTCTTGGGGAAGTTGGAGAACATTGACATCATAAATAGAACTATGGGAGTGATTGAAAGTGAGTCACAGCTAAACTCACAGAGGCAATGCATGGCTATAAACTATGCATTGACCTTGTAATAATTCTCCCTATATTCCTAATAGGTGCCATACTATATTGGAAATAACTTGTGTAAGTGATAGGATCTTATGTTAATGTATAAAAATAAAATTTAGTAAGTGTAATTGTGAAGTTCTCAACTTAGTTCTAAAAAAGAAACTTCACAAATATGTAATGAGACAGTATAGCTACACCTAAAGGAAGATACATTAAATGTAAAGAAAATTGGGGTTTGCCAGTAACCTCTATAATCATAAATGTGAATGCCAATCAGAACTACAAACACAGCAATTAGAGTCCCATCCTGTCTGCCCTGGTAGAATCATTCGAGAATGTTAAGGCCAAGCTGAATGTGACACTTTGAGCAGGACACAGGACAAGCTGGAATCGGCCCACAGAGACAGTGCAAGGTGGTGAGGGAAGGGACCAAGGGAATGGAGAATGGGGTTATATATCCTGGCGAAAGGAGGCCTGCGAGGAAGAATGGCGGCCATATTTACATAACCAAGTGGTGCTCACATGGAAGAGGAAGATAATGTGGCTCTCAGAGGACCGAACGTTAAATATAAAGAAGAGTTGCCTAACAATTAGGTACAATTGGAATAGAATGCTTCCTACATAGTGAGTTCTTAGTTATTAGAGTCTAGTAAAGAGAATGCCATACATTAGGTAAGAATTGAATGTGGTTAGGTACTATGTAGGTATCCAGGTCTGATGTGCTGTGATTCTCGTAATTACTCATATGATACTTATCTAGCACAGCCGTGAATTGTTATAAATCTTAATTATAAATGTGGATTCTCTTCTCTTTTCCTACTAGTTCACTCATGGGGCTTAACTTACTGTCTTTTGCTTGAACATAAATATTTACTGAATGAGTGAATAGTAGACACTAAGTATTTTTGATTACGGTGATGAGAGGCTCAATAGTATTTGACTAGTGGATTACTAAACAAAGAAGAATATTAGGCATTAGCAGAGTTTTTTTTCTCATACTATTTCTTAACATAAGCAATTCTCCCTAATTTGGTAATATTTCTCTTTAACGTTCTTTACTTAAGAGTTGAACAGAATATGCTGAACAGCCTTGAGGCATCTTCCTGTTTGAAAAAGAGAAATATAGTTTACATTTTGCAAAGGATGCTCTCATCCATTACTTCTTTATAATCCTCAGAATAGCATGATGAGGTTGACATTTTCCAAATGAGGAAACAAGGCCCAGAGGTAGAAAGGCACCTGCTCAAGGACACAAAGCCAGTAAGTAGCAGAGCCTGGACCCAGGACAAGGTCCATTAATTCTAAATTGCACGCTCTTTCCACTGTAAGTCAATGCCTCCCACTGAGGTCCCGAGCGAGAAGAAAGGCTGTGTGCTTCCACCTGGTTACGCTGGTCAGACCCACCTGCCCCTCATTTCCCCCTTGTGCCTCTCCTCTCAGTGCCCTGCAGTCAATAAAGAAGTTGTTCCCAGGAGACAGGGCTCTGGTTTGCCTGGATGCTGAGCTGGTTGTGATGTTATGTGAATATGACCACAACATAACTTGTCTTTATAAATATCCATTCCTCGCAGGCTTGTGAAACTACTCGCTTGAAGTCTGAGTCTGTTTGGCAGGGAGACAGGGACAGGGCAGCTGTAAGTTGGCACAGTTACCCTAGGCTAGTCCATCGCAAGGCCCCTCACTTGAAGGAGGGCTGGAAGCTGGTACAGTGGTTTGATACCAGGACTGCGGGCAGCTCCCACCTTGTGACCTGGGATTGTAAGGTGATCTGTGAAGAGAGGCTTTGAAATATCATTAGACATGCTCCGAGGGTGTGCTTGCTGCTGATTAAGTGCTTTAGAAAGGGGACTTCTAGTAAATGTGTTCAGTATTCTCCTTTCCTCTTCCATCACATCTCTCACCGTTTTTTTCTTCCTTCTTGAGAAAACAGCCAAAAAATAACATGTTCTCATAATAATCAGATGAAGTCTCCTCACATTAATTCATTCAATAAACATGAGCACTTACAGTGTGCCTGATGCTTGGCTCAGTAATGAAAATATAGAACTAAAAATGGCTTTTTATGCAATCAGTGAGTTAAAGTCTAGTGGGAAAGATGAACAGTTAAAATAGAAGGTTACTAGTACTATTACTGAGGTATTTGAAAAATGCTATTATTGGTATTACTGAAGACATTCTCAGAAGCAGAGGAATATAAATGATAATCTCTGTATAACAAACACTTTTTCAAACATAATAAGAGCAAGCCAAATTCGTGAAAAGACACCAACATTTCAATGTATCTTTAAAAATCCCTCTTTTTTAAAAGTAATTTTCTTATTTTGAATAAAAATTTGCAGCGGAAACAACTAGTGATCATTTCTGGAACAAAACTTCCCCTCCTAAGGGCTTTAATTATTGTTTAAATAATTTTGAGGGGTGGGGTTCCATAGACAGATTTAGTAGAGGCCTCAGGTCTGGGACAAATCTACAGGTTCTTCTCCTACTGCCACCAAATGTCCATTGTGACCGAGTGTGGATTTCATTATAGAACAAAGTGATGCCTTTTAACACTTTATATTTTCCCTGGAGTTTCTACTTGCCTTTATTTTATTCTCGAAGTATTTTTATATTCTTTAGGCACAGATATCCTCCTGGTTTTTCCTTTTATAATCATCTTGAGTTAAATCCACTGGTTCTTTGTAGCCCCCCTTCACACACTTCCATTACAGATCATTGCCCAGAATATAATCACATGGACAACTGAATGCAAAAATAAAATCCAATTTGTCATCTATTGATATATATCCTCAAGTAGCTTTCTGTGTCAGTTTGTATTAACTGTAGCTGCATCTAAGAATAATTAATAATAAATGTAACGTAAGAAAGATAAAATTTTATTTTTCCATTACAAGGAGAAATTTGGCAGTACAGAGGGGCCACGGTGGGCTGATTTGGCATCAGAAACATGGTTTTCATCTTTCTTTTTCATTATCCTCCTCCATGGCTTTCATTCTCAAGGAATCCAATAAAGTCAAAATGAATGTTAGAACTCCAGCTATCATGCCTACAAATCAGAAGAAATAATAAGCAGGAAACAATCTCTCTCTTTTATGAATATCTCCTTGCAGCCCCTTCACAACACATCTGTAATAGTAAAAGTGTAATATGCTAATTAGACCAAATAGCCAAACGACCTTCCAGATGTCATTCCGGACGTCCTTCTGGACGAAGCCGCCATGGTGGGGGCCAAAGCAGAGGCGGTTAAGGGTGATTAGTCAGGCAGGCAAGCAGTTAGGGGCAATCAGGCAGGCAGGCATAGGGGTTAGGGGCAATGAGGTAGGCAAGCGAGTAGTTAGGGGCAATCAGGCAGGCAGGCAGGCAGAGTGGTTAGGGGTGATCAGGCAGGCAGGCAGGCGAGCGATTAGGAGACAGCAGTCCTGGATTGTGAGAGGGATGTCTGACTGCCGGTTATGGGCAAATCCTACGCCCAATACTATTATCCTCTAAACTGGCAGTTGGACATACTCTGAGGGGTCCTGGATTTGAGAGGGTGCAGGCCGGGGCTGAGGGACCCCTCTCTCTTGTGCATGAATTTCATGCACCAGGCCTCTAGTCTACTATAAGTCATTGGACAGAACTTGATCATTAGCCATCCATAGCTGCAAGGGAGACAGAGAAATGCAATTCTCTTTAGCTTAGCTGGATACATCTAAGCAAAGGCTGTTTTCCATCGCTGACCTAGAAAAAAAAAAGAAAAAAAGAATGGGTCATTGTGTGGAACAGATGTCTACCTGTTTCATGTCTTAAAATATCTTTACTTTGGTCTTACATTTTTTTTCAGACTTTGGCAGAGTATAGAATTCCAAGTTGAAAATAATTTTCATCAGAACTTTGAAAGTACGTCTCTCCTATAACCTATAATTTACTATAATGATAGAAGGTCAATCCTACAGAGGTATCACACTTATCTGATTTATTTATTTATTTAGTCTTTGCAAGTGCTCTTTATCCTTAGTGTTCTGAAATTTAACAATGATTTTTCCATTTATCAATTATCATATCTTTTAGCTCTTCGAAATCATGTTCCATTATTTCTTTGATAGTTTTCATTCACTTCCTCTATCTTTTCCTTCTATAACTTCTATGCTTGACTGTTAGGCCTTTTGCATAAGTCTTGTGTCGCTTATCTTTTCTGTCATATTTTTGTCTCTACTTATTTCCATTCTACTTTACAGAGAAAGGTATCTTGGAAATGTTTTTCTTTAAATCCTTCAACTCAATTTTTCAACTGCAGTTTGTTTTTGCTTTGGCAGGTTATTGTAATCATCAAGATCTCATTATTGTTCTCTAAATCTTTCTCATAGGACTCTGTGGTGCTGTGAATGCAGTATTAACTTATATGTCTCTGAGTAAATAAATAAAGGTTTTTGTCTGTTTTTTATTTATTATTTAATATCTCTATTTCCTTTGAAAACTTTGTTTATGTTAGAATCAATCTCTTGTCATACTTCATTCTTCAAATATTTCACGATCTTTGGTTTTCTATTCATATTTAATAATGAAGACATGTAAGAAGTTCGGTTAATATAGCTCATGAAAGAAAGTCTAACCACTGCAAACATTATGCAGTAATAGACCACACATGCATGAGTTTGAAAGTAGGAAAGGAAAGCTTGCAGCTTTCTAAAACAGAAAAAAAAATTCAAAACCATAGCTAAGTATGAAAATAAAAGGAAAGCGGCCTACTGGTATAGGGGCAGCAGATTCGGTTATAAAATAAATACCCAGGGGAGGAAGTTTTAAGATCAAGGCCCTTAGACACAATGAAGTGACCTTGACCTCCTGAGTAAGGCTCTGAGACTGGGAGAACCTGACGTGGAATCCAACTAACCGCTCTGAATAACATATGATATAAGATTTATCCACACAAAATTGGAAACCCAAGTCTAGGCAGTGGGAGATATGGAGTTAGAATTCACACTCCACTTCTAAGAAAGAGATTTCAAGCAGATAACAAGCATAATATCTGCTCTGGGATTAGTGATACCCACAGAGTCTTAGCAAAGACAAAATTTAAATTTGCCCCAAACAATTATTCTATAGAATAGAGTATCAAGTCTTATCATGGCAAAAAATAAAAAATCAATACAAAGGAGGAAAAGGAAGAGGAGAAGGAAGACAAGGAGGAGGAGAATTATAAATAAAAAATCATAATGGGATTTAGCAAGTACAACAGATAGAAAAATTAAACCCCATGAACTATGTTAGGTAATAAACCAATTTGAAAAGAGAGGTTTAAAAAAGGCAATCTGGAAAAAATGAGTTTCTAAAACTAAAAAATATAGCTAAAATTTTCTAATTTTTGTACATTATAAACCCCACAGATTTGAGATGAACAACAAACTCCAAACAGAATAAGTAAAAAGAAACCACAGCACATCATATTTAAGTTGCTGAAAGCCAGTAATAAAGAGAAAAATCTTAAAAGATGCTAGAAAACAAAGCCTCATCATACCCAGAGGGATGAGATTAGAATGACCACAGATCAGAAATGATGCAAGACAGGGCACAGTGAAATGACATATTTAACATGCTAAAAGGGAAAAAGTGTCAACCCACAACTCTATATCCAGTGAACATATTCTTCACAAATGAAGGTTAAATAAGGCCATTTCTAAAAAAGCAAAAACTGAGTTTATTGCAATCAATGCCACACTACAAGAAATGTTAAAGGAAGTTTCTCATGCTAAACAATAATGTTTTAAAAAACACACACACTCAGATTTAGACCAAGAAATAAAAAACACTGAAAACGGTAACTATGGGAATTATAAAAATATGTGTATGAAGGCTTTTCCTTATTCTTAAAATTTCTTTAAAAGATAATTGGCTGTTAAAAAATGCATTATGCATTTTATAAATATGTAGAAATAAGCTATACGATACTTTGTAATAGTACAAAGGATGATGACGGGAATGGATGCATACTGTGTGAAGGTGAGACTTCATCGGAAGTAATATTAAAGACATACCATCTAAGTTGAACATTATTATTGTAAACCCTAGAATAAAAAGATAAGTTGGAATACTAAAGCTACTAAATGAATCATTAAGAAGGCAAGAAAAGACAATGTAAACACAGAAAAAAATAGTACAAATAGAAAGCAAACAGCCAGATGGTAGAATAAAAACCAAATATACTGATAATTTTATTACATGCATATTTGCTAAACACTCCATTAGAAGGCAGAGATTGCTCAACATTTTAAAAGCAAGAAGCACCTACATGCTATAAATGGAACAAATTTAAATACAAAGACATCAGTTAAAAGTAAAAGGAGGAAAAAAGATAAATCATACAAACACTGAGATAGCTCTATTAATAACAAAGTAGTTTTCAGTATGAAAAATATTATCTGAAATATGGCAGGACACTTAAATGCTGAAAATGACAAATGCATCCAGAGTATATAATCATTCTTAATGTGTGCACAGCATCTATTAACAGAGCTTTACAATACATAAAGCAAAACTCACAGACTTACAGGAAATATAAAAATTCACAATTGTAGTTGGAGATTTTATCATTCACCTCTTTGTAATTAATTTTAATGTATATATAGAATCCACAAAGGCATAAAAGCCAAACAAAAGTATAAAGCAACTTCTGTTAGTTGACATTTATAGGACAATGTACCAACGATAGCAGTAGACCCATTCTTTATAAGTACACATAAAACATCCACCATGCTAGACTATGAGCTAAGCTGAAACATTTAGAAGGATCAAAGTCTCAGAGTATATATTCTCATACATACATAAAAATAATAGGAAATCAATACCAAAAATAATCTGGAGAATACCCAAATATTTTGAAATTAAACAAGGGACTTCTAAATATCCACAAATCAAAGAAGATATCACAAAATACATTATTAAATATTTTTAAAAGAATTATATAAAAATCACTACATATCAAAAAGTATAAGGTGAAGCTAAAACATTATTTAGAAAGAAATGTATTGTTTTACATAATTATATCAGTGAAGACAGTTTTAAAATCAATTATCTAATTTTCCATATTAGCAAAGTAAGAAAAGAAAAGTAACTCAAAGTAAGTGAATGGAAGAATAAAGTAAAAACCAAAATTAATAAAATTAAACACATACACACATGAGAGAAAAATCAATGAAAACAAACCTTGTTTTCAGAAAACATTAAAAAAGTTAATTAACTTCTAATAAACTCCTGGATCATGGATTAGCAAAAGGACATTAGTGGGACATTCAATAAAATGTTAGTAATGTAGATTAGAAGTATTGCCCAGTGAGTTCTCTGGTTTTGATAATGGTATTGTAATTATATAAGATGTTAACATTTAGGGAAGCTGGATGAAAGGTATATAGAAACTCTGTTATTTTTTGACAACTTCTTTGTAAGTCTGAAATTATTTCAAAATGAAAACATTTTTAAAAAGAGAGAACTTCTGTTTTTGAGAGACGATTAAGAAATCAAAAGGACAAGCTGATGATTGGGAAATATTTATAATACACATATCTGACAAAGACTTGTATCAAGTATATATATAACAGCTCTAGCCTGTTTGGCTCAGTGGATAGAGCATCGGCCTGTTGACTGAAGGATCCCAGGTTAGATTCTAGTCAAGGTCATATGCCCAGGTTTCTGGCTCAATCCCTAGTAGGGGGCATGCAGGAGGACAAACCAACTAAAAACTTGTAAAATGTTTGGACAGATATTTCTCAAATGAAGAGACATGAATGTCCAATAAGCATATGAAAACATGCTCAAAATTACTAGTGATCAGGGAAATACAAATAAAATCATAATATTATAACACCAAATTTAAAATATAATGGACACAATTTTTCTGTTTTGGTAACCCTCACCCAAGGATATTTTCCCATTGATTTTTAGAGAGAATGGAAGAGAGAGGGAAAGACAGAGAGAAATAGTGATGTGAGAGAAACACATCGATTAGTTGTCTCCTGCAGGAGTCCTGCAACCGAGGTATATGCCTTTGACCAGAATCAAACCAGGGACCCTTCAGTTTGCAGGCTGATGCTCTATCCACTGAGTCAAACTGGCTAGGGCAAATGGCTACAATTTTTAAAGGCTTATAACACTAACTGTTGGCTTACATGTGGAGCAATTGAATGCCCATATATTGCTGTTGGGAGTGTGAACTGGTAACAAGCTCTTTGGAAATGGTTTATAAGTTTTAAATGGAGCCTAACATAACATACACTTAGCATATAATCCAGTAATTATACTGGTAAGTATTTACCCCAAAGTAAAAAAAGACATGTACCCCAAAACGACCTGAAGAGAATGTTCATTGATTATTCTAAATACCTCCAGCAATAGTAATGAAAACAGTGTGGCATTGACATAAGGACATACGTATGACTAATGAAATGGAATAAAAAGTCCAGAAACAAGCCCTTGCATGTATGGTCAACTGATTTTCAACAAGGGTGATAAGATCTTTCAACAGGGAAGGAAGTCTTTCCAATAACTGATGCTGGGAAAACTGGATTTTCACAAGCAAAAGAAGCAAGTTGACCCTTATACTATATATAGAAATTAACTCACAATGGGTCAAAGTCTAAATTACAGAGCTAAAACTAAGAAACCCTTAAACAAAAACTTTAGGAGGAAATCTTCATGACATTGACTTTGGCAATAATTTATTGACTATGAAATCAAAAGCACAGGCA